ATATATATTCAACGGGTTAAGGGATGAAGACCAAGTGTTGATTCCATGTGAGGTTGTAAACACTCTGTCGAATGCATCATCACTTGTCTAAATATTTTAGTATAAAATGATTTCAAAAGGTCAAAAAGGTTAGATATATTAGCACCAGATTAATAATTTAATTATTGCTCATTGCTTGAAACTGTTTTTTAGAGATTTGCACTTCTTTTCGAGTCCACGATACATACACACTCGAGTTTTTGTTGTAGCTGCAGCAGCAGCAGATGATACTCATACTCATTACGAGAGCTGCAACAAAAGGATACAGAAATCAATGCTACAGTTCTTAGCCAATAAAAGAAAGTACTGGTAAAGCTGGAAACTGCTGCGAGCTTTCTGCTTACCGATGTACTCTTTACCTACGCTGCATGCATCCAACTTAACTTAGCTTCCACCTCAACCTAATGTCGTCGTCGTATGGCCCTCATAATCCTAACTACATACATTCGCAAGACATGCAAATAAATTATTCGGGTGAGATGATGATGCTGTAACGCCTGAACAATTTAATTGCTTTTTTAGATAGATTCCTGATCATCATGTCATTAGAATACTCCACGTTGATCCATCCGAGTTAAGATTTTTTGGGATCCAACCTCTTTTTTTTTTTTTTTTTTTTAATCGAATGAACACAGATGAAATCATATCGATTTTTTTTTAAATGTCCTGATTATTTACGATCAATTCATTCCTTCTTCTTCTTCTTCTTCTCTTTCTCTAGCAAAAGATCAAAACTTCATATATGTTCAAATCCTATCGAAAAGATTCACCAGAGAAATAAAATAAGATGTGTTTTCTTTTACGGATGATCAAAACTTCTTCCGCCTTCAAATCTTTCGGAAAGGCCCAACCAAAAATTAGATTTTTGTTTCTTTTGTCCTTTCGAAGAGATCAGAAAATAAAGATTATATCTGCTTCGTTTTGAAATCATGTCCATCATCATTATATCTGCTTCGTTTTCCATCACCATCATATCTGCTTTGTCACTCCCTCCCAGCCAGCCAGCCATCCATCCATCCATGTCCATATGGTATCCTCCTTCCTTCCTTCCTTCTCCAAACTCATCCGCTGCCTGCCTTTGTAATGATAGCAACTCGAGGCCTTTTGATTACCCCAACAGTCTATGACCTGCAACTCGCTTTAGACAAAGAAAAGCAAAAGGAGACACAGCCGAGTGCCACGTCCTTTCCTGTTGCATGCTGCTGACTTCCAACTTCTCCACCTCTCAGATTCCCTCCTCGGTCACGTAGGATGATGACCTCACTTTCTTTTCATTCGTTCCAAATAAGCATATTAACTAACTCCTCCAATATTAGTCAGATGATAATAATAATAATAATAAAGGTAAATTTTTTTTATATTTGTCATGTCAAATTATTTTAGACAGATGATTGGTTTTTTTTCTTCTTTTTTTACTGCTAATCAATCTAGACAGAAGATTAAGATAGATAGATAGATAGATAGATAGATAGATAGATAGATAGATAGATAGATAGATAGATGTAGTGCAAATGGATACCCTCTAAAATTGGTATTAAAGATTTCCTAAATTAATCTAATTTTACTTAAATAAGAGAAGTGATTACAAATATCACAACGCAAGGTAAGATTTGTGGGTGAGGGCAGGCAGGCAGGAAGGCAGGGCAGGCAGCGTGGGTTTCAGGAACAGGAATGGGTGGGAGGCCCCACCGCAGCTGAACCCCCAACGCTTTACAGCCAAACCAAGGGTGGCCTGACATCCTCACCTTTAATTCTGGTTCGTGTAGCAACAACATTGGACGGCTGGCAAACTCCACCCCTTCCCCCCTTCCCCTTTCCCCTTCCCGCTGAGGTGCCCTGCAATTATGTCGCTCTAACATGCCCTTGTCTCCTCCATTTTGGTTGTAGCATCAGCAGCAGCAGCAGCAGCACCGGCCACTAAAGACTCGCGGCCAGCGGCACCAGGCCACGATCGCGTTCGCCTCACAGCCAACTCAACTCCCCAAAGGTGTTTGTCGAAATGCCTCTCCGCCCCCCCAAAACGGCACTCTGCAGCTGTGTCTGGAGCCTCCCTCCCTCCTTCCAAGCCCATTCCCCTTCGCAGCTTCTTCCCACCATGCTCTATTATGACTAGAGGAAAAGAATGAAAGAGGAGTGTGTTTAACATTTCGATCCAGGTTTCCTACTCGAGAGAGAGAGAGAGAGAGAGGGTCGGGCTACAATCTGATGGTCATGGGGAAGAATTGAATCCTCAAACCCCAATCGCCTCAAAGATCACGCATGTTGAACATGATTTAGATGCCCAAAATATATTACGGTTTGCAAGTTCATCGACTTAATACAATAAAAGCATTCGGGCATACAACAAACGTCACAAAGCTTGGTTTGGTATTTCTGTAGAATTAATCAACTACACGTTTATGGAATGCCATCAAAGCTTTTCTTCTTTGGACTCCACACGATGTATACATCAGAATGTATGAAGCATATATTGTTTTTTTTTTTTTTTGTTATGCCCACATACAATACATGTAATGTGATACCGTATATTTCGGGCTACGATCAAGTCAGCAAGAGAAGCACTCCCACTCATCGAGCCAACAGCCATATCAAGACATCGCTCGGCATGTCCTGTCCCGGTAAGCTCGGGACAACGTTGCATGTCGCCATTCCGGACGTCTCGGGACGGTGACCACACAAAAGTACCATTTCACCCCTCGAGGATCGATCGTCACGTCAAACCCGCGTACGATCGACTCTCATATAGTAGTATAAAAATACATGGCCGACATCCGACCAAGGGTGGGAGGAGAAAAGGAGTGAAAGCCAGAAAGCAGAAACCCACACTAACTTACTTGTCGAGGGGCCACAATCGGGAATCACCTGACGGGGCCTTCTTTGCAAGAAAGCAGCAACGTCCAAGGTAAGGCCACCCCGATCGATAGGGACATCCTTCCTCCCGACGCGTCAATCAGCATCCTGATGAAGAAACGCCAATCAATATTACGACGACAACGCACTGACCAGAGGACTCGACCGACTCTGGCATCCAGCTCAGGTGACTGAAGACTCCCGACATCACCCTATGGACCAGGCTGACTCATCAGCTACGACGCATCGGTTCATCAACATAATGCGCATCTATGAAATCCGTCGTTGAAAGGCTTTTATCTCTTCAAAGGTTTTGAGAAGCTTACTGAAATAATCGGATCGACAGAGCTCATTATATATTTTCATGAATTGCTCAACTTTGCGTCTAAATCAGAGCAAGGAATTCGATTCAGTCTCTTTCAAGGCTCATACAGATCTCGATGCTGCTTTTTCAATCTAACTTGGCAATCATGTGATTGCTTCATGCATAATAATCGACATTCATGGTTGACATGTCCATAATAATGGGCTTCCTGCGAAATTAATTATATATGAGTTCATTAATGAAATAGTGAATCATCACCCAAAAAAAAAAATAATGATAATAATAATAATACGTGAGACTCTCCTGGGATTAACCTTTTTTTTTAGTATATAAATTGATTATCCATTTGAATCACGAAATAGTCTATCTTCACGTTTGACAATTGAACCTCTAAAGCGAGTTATGACTTATTCGAGCTAATGATTAAGTATTTTCTATAAGACTTATGTCTAACGAAATCTTTCCGACAACTATGTTCGAGGTAAATTTTGTTTGAGCGATTTTGTAGCTAAAATAATATATAAAGAGATTTTATATATAGGGAATGACTAAAGAAATAATTTTAAAAAATATTTTAGTCTCGATCCCGACTAAAATGCTGAAAATTATTAGAACTAATTTATATAATGGGTACCACATATATTTAGTCATTGGCGAATCACCTCTATGATTAGCCTTATCTATTCTAATAATTAGTGAAACCATCTAAAATGAAAAATTAATAGTTATTTTTTGAAAAATCTTCAGTATAATTATTGCTACAAGATTGCCTGCCATCCACATGAAATCAGAGAAGATGCAACATGTAAGATCGCGAAGAATAAATCTTGTGGTCACATCCAGAGTTCATCTCCCTAAAATAAAAATCTAGAATCAAAAAAAATATTTTAGAGTACAGAATAAAATTTCGAAAAGAAAAACCAGTTCTGTAAAATTTATAATCCCAAAAAACCTCACACTAAACTCAGCTTGTTTTGGAGTAGTAAGAAAGATTTAAAGAAAGAAAAAAAAAAGGGTGGGGAAAAATAAACTAACACTAGCAAGGCCTCAAAGTTAGTAGGGAGAGAGAGAGAGAGAGGAGGAAAAGGAATGTATACTGGTGCGAGAGGGACCCACGTGCTTACCTTTTCTTTGGAGCCTCCCGTTTTTTGACATGCAGACTGGGACCCACCCTCGGCGCCACTGTCTTCTGGGTGTCGAACGATTAAAGAGCACCGCACGTGGAGTCTGAGCCAGGTATGTGTAGCCAGCCACCGTGGCACCTATAATTAATTTCCGGAAAACAATTATAATATGGAGGGAGAAAAAAAAGGACATGACAGAGAGTAGGGAACAATACGTAAAGTTTGTGGCTCCACATGGGATATTTTGATTCTATTTTATGCCTTTTTTTTTCATTTTTATGGATTTTTTTCCCATGATAATTTTTTTTTTTGTCTTTTTCCCTTAATAGTAGATAATTAATTTCCGTTAAATACGTGCGGGGATCTGATCCAACATTTAAACGGGTCGGGTTTTATGCCCGTTTCTGGGTAGCACTTGATCCCACCCGTCATGCACCGTCACTGGGGGCAATAACACGCAATTTCCAATTTATTATATGGCCCTAATTTTCTCTTCCTCTTCCCTTATCTCTCTCTCTCTCTCTCTCTCTCTTAAACTGAGACTGGAGTTATAGTTTCTCCTCTTTATCTCTTTCATCTCCGTTGCCGAAAGTATGATTTGGTGCGCTACAGGCTCTCTCTCTCTC